CTGGAATTAATTCAACTTTCTCAATTGTAGGAGACACTGAGTCGCGACCATTAAGTAGTAATTGCCAGAGACATAATAATATAATTATTTCGGTACTCTAAAAGGCTTAGGACGCTCGCGCGCTATGCAAGAGTCCGGGTTCGACTCCCGGTCGAGGTAATATTTTTCGCAATAAGAATTAATTATTTACAGATTTTAATATTTTATTCATCATTATTAAGACCGTTTCGAAGATGCGAATAAGCATAAAAAATTTGTTAAATTGCCAGTCAATTTAACTCGTGATACTACTGCGGTAGTTTAATAGCGTTTCAAGACCGAAAAATCATTTCGGCGGGGTGGCACCCAGTTGGACACGGCTCAATTGGACACGAGCCACTCACAGCGCTTGAGACTACAAAGCTCCTAAGCACCGGTCGCTGTGATTGGTAGTGTCCAATCGAGACGTGGTCAATCGGGATCACCCCATTTCGGCGCGCGTTTCTGAGGACTACAAACCATACGTAGTATATAAATTCACATAAGAATCTTACAAGCACTAAGATCCTGATAAACCGTTTAAGGCTTTGATTTCTATAGTTTGTATTATCACATATACGGTCCTATAATATATTATAATTATTTCATCAGCGGAATTAATTAATTAAGGCACTTAAATAGAGAATATACGGTCACATCCATACCGCGGACCTAACCCCTACCTGACCGATGAGGTCGGCCGGACACCACCCCCTCCGACCTAACCATTGGGGTTGGTAGGAACCTACCTCCCCGACCTAACCGTTAGAGTCGGCTGGAACCTATCCCCCGACCTAATCGTTGAGGTCGGAACCTACCCCACCGACCTAACCATTGGGGTCGGCCAGAATCTACTCCCCCGATCTAACCATTGGGGTCGGCCGGAACTTACCCCCCCCGCCGACAGAACCGTTGGGATCGGCCGAAACCTACCCGGGACGTAACTCCGGTCAGGGGTAGAGGTAACGTTTCGGTCGGGAGGGTAGGTTCCGGTCGACCTCAACGGTTATTTCTCAACAAAAAATAGGGAACACTTTAGAACACGTTCAAAATTGCATAATATTCAGAACACCGTAACTCGATGAAAAATTATCGTAGACAAAAAAAAATTAAAAGCGCATTTGAAACTTGAAATCTCTACTTTCGAAATCGGTAATTGATATTTCAATGTGACTGATTCTTTACGGTGATATACGTACACAAATGGATACCCGATAAATTTGAAAATTTTGTACAAATTTTATGAAGGTCTATGGCATGAAATAAAAGTTATATAAAAATGCGATTTACGGTAATCGAAAGATTTAATCTTTGCCTTTTCAATTAGCTTTTTTATTGATTTCTATGCGATTTTTCTTCGCCGAGTTATTAAACGTTGAAGTAAAAGTAATCATTTTTCAACCCCGGACCTAATCGTAAAAGATCAGTCGGATTGAAATATCTATTACCGTTTTCAAAAGTAAAAAGTTCAACCTTTAAAATCCTTTTTTAAGAATCCCATTACGACCATTTTTGACGAAGTTATTTCTATCTTGAAGTTAAAGGATCATTTAGAATTTAGAATTATCATTAAAAAGGCCAAATTCAGGGTTTACACACACACACACATGTCTCTGCGAAAAATGATTACGAAACATTTGGAATAACTGTTTTAAAGCTAAAAGCCATAACTTTCGAATGCTTCAAATCATGTTTCTATGTAAAAATTTTATTACAAATGCTAATTTGAAGTCGATCTTTTAAAATTAAAAAATAAACGTCAACTTTGATGACGTGCACGGAATAAAAAATCTTTATTGGCTAACGTTAATGTAGGCGGTAAACGTTATTTTTCAAGAAATGGTAAGTGCACTTCAAAAATCCCTCTCAAAAGAATATCACATAATAATGTAAGAGATATTGTTTTACACGAAAGTGTTTTTTAGTTTTAGACATCTGTATTCAATTTTTCAAGAAAATTCTTTTTATTTTATAGAGTGTCAAAGGTACATCATTTTAGAAAGTATTATAGTATATTGTTCTCTTATTCAGGACACACACACACACACAGAACTGAGAACATTTTTTATTCTGTGCATGTCATCAAAGTAGAAGTTTACTTTTTAATTTTAAAAGATCGACTTCAAATTAGCATCATTTGTGATACAATTTTTACATAGAAACATGATTTGAAACATTTAAAGGTCATGGCTTTAAGTTTTAAAACGATTATTTCAAACGTTTCACATAATCATTTTTTGCAAAGATACATAAATATTTATTTTGCCCTTTTTAACGCTAATTCTAAATGATGTCTTTAACTTCAAGATAACTTTGTCGAAAATGATCATAATGAGATTTTTTAAAAAGCATTTTAAAGGTTGATCTCTTTACTTTTGAAATCGGTAATAGATATTTCAATCTGACTGATGTTTTACGGAGCTATACGGACGCAAATGGATACCTGGCAAATCTGAAAATTTTGTACAAATTGTATAAAGGTCTCTGGTGTGAAGTAAAAATCACACAAAAATGCAATTTACAGCAATCGAAAGAGTGAATCTTTATACCTCCAATTTGTTTTTTATTGAGTACTGTACGATTTTTTTTTACCGAGTTATTGAACGTTGAAGCAAAAATGATCACTTTTGCTTCAACGTTCAATAACTCAGTGAGGAAAAATCGTACAGCATTCAATAAAAAAGCAAATTGAAGGTAAAGATTCACTCTTTCGACTGCCGTAAACCGCATTTTTATGTAAATTTTACTTCACGCCACAGATCTGTGTAAAGTTTGTAAAAATTTTTCATATTTGACGGGTATCCATTTGTGTCTGTATATCTCCATAAAGAATTAGTCAGATTAAAATATCAATCACCAATTTCGAAAGTAGAAATTTCAAGCTTTCAAATGCTTTTTTGATTTGTTGTTTGCGATAATTTTTCACCGAGTTATGATGTTCTGAATATTGCGCAATTTTGAACGTGTTCTAAAGTGTTCTCTATTTTTTGTTGAGTAGTGTATATAGAGAGATTACGTATTTATATCTAAAAATAAGAAAAAGTAAATACATTGTGACTTTTAATAGGTCGTTCAGTTTTGTCATTATATTATCAAACTATTTAATTGTGCGATCAATATTTCCTTTGTCCAATGTCTTATATGATTTGTAAATTGTTATGTCGATATATAAATATTTAACTTAATAACACTTGTTAAATATTAACGACAGATCATTACAATTTTTACTTGTCGCCAATGTACCGCATCACGATCGACAATACATTAAGAGCTCAAAGCAATCAGAAAAGTGCAGCAAGGGGGCATCTTGTTCATTTTATTATCACAAGAATGGACTAGCGCGCACCTGTTGCATAAATCGATCGATGCGAATGAATACCTACGTGTAGGCTTAGACTGGACAGCGGCTTACGTTTCAGTTTATCAATAATGCTTTTTAGCAAAAGACCAGTTAGTTTAAGGTAGCTCTATAAGGAAATCGTTTCATCATATTTTTCTGCAACGATCAAGACTTTGGTTTTTGGCGCAATATTTTTTCCATAATTTTATGATGTATAATACAATCATGGAAAATTTTGATTTAATACAAAATTTTCTATCTGCAAGCGCGCACAAAGAAAAATAAAATACTTGATCTTCCATTATCAATATTATACAGTTTATTTGGAAATAAAATAATTTTATTTAACTAAAATATTAAGAAATATTAGTATTGTTTCCTAGACGTACAAAATATATTAGTATTGCTTTCATTAATAATTTATACACATCTACGATAAATGTAAATATTCTAAAAAGATTTATAATTTTTAATTCTTTATTTCAAGAGCATTTAGAGATTTAAAAATATTTTCTGTAGAAATATTTTCATTCATAAAATTATCACCTTTCGTGACATTAAATCGAGAAAAATTATATTTTAATAAGTATTCTCTCAAATATCGTTTGAATAACGGATTTAACTCGGAAAAGTAACGTAATCCATCGATTATTGGTAACGAATCGCATCACTAACCGTATATTTATCGACTTTAATTGCACTCTATTCCGAAGTACAGATGGTACTTGTGCTGCAATCAATGTATTAAATGGAGACGAAAATCCATAAATTGACTCATTGTGGATCGACATGGATTTGAAAAATTGAGATAAAATTCATGAATCCATGAAAATGAGTGGTTTCCTGAAAATTTCAACTCGATTGAGTTCGAATAATACTGAGGTAACTATCCCCGAATAATGTGAGTTATGAACTTGATGAATTCATTAACATTCATTAAAGGTGATTATCTCCACGTCGAATATTCTCAAAACGTTAAAAACTTTTCGTCAACTGCATTTAAATGAAGCTGACAGCCAGAAGAGTATAATTTGTGCAAAAAATATGACTTAATTAAATATCCAAATCGTAAAATATTTTATCTAAAGAATATATAATTGATGATCTATTAATGGGAGAAAAAGCGAAAAGAATTGTATGATAAATTGATTACCGTAAAAATTACAAAAATGCACAAAGAAAGATTTGTGCAAGTCATAACAGATATATTGTATAGTCTGTAAATCCTTTTCTGTAATATTAAAAATTAAATACACTTTCTTTTAATAGTTGACGGATAATTTTAATTACATACATATATTATATCTTTCGATTAAAGTAAAAATGTTTCTAATAATATAGAATTTATTGAGTACTAAATAATATAATTATTTTTCGATATAATACTTTTTTAATAAAATTTTCTTAACATGCAAAACAAATTTTCGCATTTTGTCAATGAAACATTCGTACGGCTTTTTCAGTTTATCCTTGAAAATACACTTTTTACATTGAAATATAATAAATTTACATTACAAACTTACTTTAAATTTCTTATATCAAGGATATAAAAGTTCTCTTTTAGAAGAAACATTTCGGCTTTAATAAATGATGGATTTGAGATTTTTTTTTTACCAAATCCATTTCAGAAAAAAGTCATTACCTTGAGATCGGTGATGTTATAATTATTCCCCACAGAAGATTGCGGTGTGAAACGCGTAGGAGTAGTCGTGGTGGTTGTGGTAGTCGGAAATGATCGCTGTCTCGTTGAGTTCGATAGTCTAGTTCCTTCACCGATACGAACTGCTGAATTGCCTCTACCCACGTTTACGCCCTTGACTGTTCCCCTGTTTCCGATTTTGATGCCTCCTTCTCTAATAGTGTTACCCGCTGGACTACCTAGCACCAACAACGGTGACATCACCAAAGAGAGGATCCACGCAGTCCTCATGGCGCGGAATTTGTTGCTCGAAGCGACGACCGTTTTTGTCACGAGATGGTGATCTGTCGACGATTGATTCGATCGTGTACCGCTCCTTCGTGCTATCTTGACACTGCGCTTCCATTCAAAATGCCGGTGAATTCTTTAGCGTCGCGACGACGCAACGCAATTGCATGCACGCGCATTTCTGCTGTCGTAACGTCGTCTCATCGCGATTTGATGCGCCTGAAATACAAATTTCAAATTTGTTAATATCAAATAAACAATGATTCAAGTATAGAAATCACGAAAAAGTTAAAAAAAATTCTGTTATAATCTTTCTCAATATATATTGCATTCAATATTTTGTTTTTAACAAAAAACATATTCTACTGTAAGCATGCTTTATTGTCTTAAAATTTTAATAAAATCATTATCCCTTCGAGGGAAACGAAACACGTGTAAATACTTAATGTACGGTAGGGGAATAAATACAAGACATGTTGAAATAATCCTTTATATTTTTCACTAAAGCTTTAGCTAAGAAGGTCTTTAATTTAGTTGCCCTAATTTGCCGTCGGAGCAAATACAGGCTCATCCTAAGGTTAATTCCCTTTAATTCCTCGGTTCGCTCTACCTCTTTTGTACTATTATCTAAATCGGGAGTTACAGTTTGGTATGTCTATAGAATATGTCTTTGATCAGTGAGCCATGTAATAAGGTTTTGTTTTAGAGAGAATTGCATATGGATCAATCAAAGAACAGCCGGCTGTATATAATGGTCAATTTCCCGTAGGATTAGTCGGACAGTTTGATCGGTCATCGCTACCTGTCATCGTACACGTATGTGAAATGCTCTATCTGACAGATCGAGTCTATCACAAATCGAGTCTGCACATTGATACCGTAAATCTGTAAAGTCTAATCGGATAAATTCCAATTTCATGAACTTGCAGCTTTGACATACATATATCATTTTCATGGATTAAAAATAATCTGACTTAAACCTTTTAAATTAAAAATATATATATAATCGCAACATTACTACTCTCTCTATTTATTTTAAATATTTTATAATACTGGACGAGGTGTGAATACAAATTTAAACATTATGTCATATTTTGTAAGAGAAATACGATAAAAAAAATAATGGTAAAACTTGTTAACAAGTTGGCTGATTAAAATTTGCATAAATTTGGCAAATAGAATAAAAGAGTAACATACAAATTAATAACACAATTAACACAATACTTAGTTAGTTTCGGATAAAAAAATAGCATCTTGTTTAAATTATCATAAGATATACGTCCTAAAATATACTTCTTAAGTTATCAAGAATTTTCCAAAGGAAATTATCATTGCAGAAAAAAAATTGCTAAAATTTCTAAAATTTCTAAAATAAAAAGACAGAAAAAAAGATATACATGTTTGTTTCGAATATTATATATACAAGTATGTCTATTTGAATGTTTTATTTTCTTTTAATATGTAATAAAAAAAATAAATATTTTGTAAAGAAATACTGAAAGCTATATTAAGTATAAATCGATTTCATTCGAAACTGACACCTGAATGTTGTATTCAGAGCACATAAAAGAGATACATATTTTCTTATGGAAATATGATACAGATTGATATCCAGGAATAGAGCAGCAAGCACGCTTCATGTTCAAATATAATCCTTATATCGTACTTTAAAGAATTTCAAATAGAACGTTCAACTTTCAAGAGTCTTTCTTCGGTTTCAGAATTTTCCGATCTGATTTTTCGGACTTCACTAGAATACTTCACTCTTCTAAAGAGCGAGCTTTCAAGTCCTGTAACGAGAGAAACTTTTGGTCTTACATAAGTTCAGCGACTAATCGGTAATATCTAAAAGAAAAAAGCTTTTGATTCAGTAATATTTAAAAGAAAAAAAACTTTCGATTTTGAAAAAGATATAGTCGATAAAAATATGAAATATATCAAATTAGATTCGATCAATTTATTACATAAAATAATTTTAACCGTGTGTAGAATATATAGATTTGTATTGCCAATTATAAGCAATTACGTTTTACGTAAATTATGTGTTTAAATATTTTCTATTAAATTAAGTTTTAGTCAACTGTAATTTTAAAATATTATGTTATTATATTCAAAGAAATAAAAAAAGTTTTTTTAATTTTTAGCTTATACTTAATAAACGTTGCAACTTTGATGTTAACATTATGAATTTTCATAAATTTTATGGATTCTAGGTTGTCTTAAACAAAACTCAAGTTTCTATAAAATTGAATGTTTATTTACTTCAATTGTTCAAGTACGTCAATCGTGTTAAATAGAAGTTTACTAACTTTTGTAAGATTTTCTATTCTAAAGTAGGTTCCCATTTTGTGGCGTGAAAGCTTTTCACGGCTTTCCTTTCGTAACATAAAACGTAGATATTGGTCCTTTCACGTTACGGTCGACAATTTTTCTAAGTTTCATCGAACTTCAATCATTCAACTTCCAATAACAAATGTGAACAAGATTGTATCATTGATGCGTATATCTACAGCATATATATACAACTAATAGCAAAATGATTTTACAGTATAATTTTTATATTTTTCATTGTAGACCTACTATAAAAAAATTGTAAAAATGTATATGAAATATTACGATTTAAGTGATCTTTCATTAACCGACACATAAACTTTGTTCCATAGAAAATATGTGATGCGTTGTCGATAACGAAAATGATATATTGCCGATATTTCCTGCTTTATTTCTCGATTGTCAGACCTGCATTCAAAATGACGTTTGTTTCAACTTTGACATGCTGGCAGCTGTTTCATTATTGCGATGTTTCTACTACGCAGACTCTCATCGGTTCCAACTGCAATTTATATTTTGAACACGTATGAAATGCTATACATACGACATGACGATAGGTATTTTTAAATTTTTAGTTATCTTTCTCGGGGACTGCTATTAATCATTGACATGGTAATAGAGTGATTTGCATGGAAATCGTAATAATAGAAGCATTATACGTATTAACGTCACATGCGAATTCGATTTGTAATTTACGAGTAATGCGCTTGACTTTACATGCAAACAATTTTAATCCCAAGCCAGCATTATACATTCAAATGTAAAATGTAAAACGCAGACGACTGGTACAAATTCAATCGCGACACATTGCATTGTATTTCCTACTTGCATAACAATAATTTTTATGCCGGTATAATGCGAATGCAATATACAATTGAGATGCTTTATAACCAATGTGATTTCTCTTAATATATATATATATATATA